GTGGCTGGCGCCTTAGCCGGTTGAGCTATAGGCGCCGAGCCCTATATATTTCAAAATGAGAAGAGATTTAGTCTAATTTAGAACGTTCCCTACAAAAACAAATGATAAATGTTTGAGGTGATGGATATCCTAATTACCCAGATTGGATCACTATACATTACATACTTGTATCAAAATATCACATGTACCCCACAATTACAGACAACTATTCTGCATCCATAAAAATTAAAAATAAATTTAAAATAAAATAATAAAAAGGTTGGGGGAAAGATGGAAAATGCCATCTAGAAAAGAGCCCTACAAGGAGGCCAAGAGCTGGACAGTGTGAAAATTCTACCTCTGTGTGCAGGACCCACCCTGGGCCATGTGTCAGCCCCTGTGAGCACAGGTCCTGCTGCGACAAGGTTCTACTGAAGGGACAAGGACAGTAGAACAGTGAGGACAACCCTGCCTAGTAGTGACCACATAAAGTCTATGATGGACTGAGCACCAACTGGGCACACTCAGCTCCTGTGTGTGTAACTGTCCCCACCTGCAGCAGACTCAGCACAGAAAACACACAGATTCTGGAAGGTTCTCAGGTCTTCATTTTATTTCCCTTCTTGCCTCTCTCATGGCAAGAATTTGAAAAAACAAATTTATATTCAAATTCTTATTTTCAGTAGGGAAGCAACTTAGTGCACCATGAAGTTGAGACAGGGATGGAGACATCCCACCCCCACCTCACTGCAACAGGAAAGATAATCAGGAAGGGACACAGGTCAGTGTAGGAGAAAGGGTCACCATGGACAGAGGGGAAGGCTGCCTTCACCACCTCCTCACATTAGACAAACAGGGATGCAGAATCATTCAGAAGCATTTGCAGAAGTCAGAGGCTCTTGAAGTCACAAAGGAGAGGCATGAACACTTAGTCCCACACAAGGCAGCTGTCTCAGGCTAGAGAAGAAAATGAGGAACAAAATGAGATTAGTCACAGCAAGTGGTGACACTGAACAGCCCACCACACACTCACAATGTCCCATCAAAGAATCCCCATAGCAATCCCCCAGTTGTGTCTCCTCTGTCCCAACCCACCCTCCTATCATACCCCCTGGGTCTCACCTTTACAAGCTGTTAGAGACACATCTGATCCCTGGGCACTGTCACTAACTGGGGTAAAACAAAACAGAACCTGGTCAGAGCCCAGAGAAGATGTGACTGAAGGAGAAATTATGTGACTGGGAGCTCCACCATGAACTCCTATCTACACTATCTCAAAGATCAGATATCACCGCCCCCAATACTTACTTGCAGCCTGAGTGTAGCTCCCTCCTTTTCCACCTGTGGGAAGAAAATGCTCTATGAGATGCCAGGTAGCAGGCAGGACCACGAGGTCCTAGAGGAACCCCCTAGTCTTGGATCCCAGAGAAGTGTCCAGAACTCTAACTGAAGACCCAGGGGAGGATCAGAAATCACAGGAAAAGGAAGAGTGTGGATCAACTGCCCTCCTGGAGGTCTGTCCTGAGCACAGTTCCTTCCTCTCTGACCTGTGACTGCTGGATCAGGTCCCCATCACCACAAGTATCACGTTAAATCTCTCTCCTTCACTGTCACATGTGCTATACAAGACAATAAGTGTTGGCACACAGGGCCCTGGCTGGGGAAGCAGGTGTGTGGATGGAACTTCCCAGTAATGGGACAGGGCACCATGCTACCTGGGGTTAAAACCACAGTGGGACAAGAAAATGAAAACCCTTCCCCTCACCCCTTCCCTACCTGAGCTCTTCCTCCTCCACATCACAACCACAGCTCCAATCAGCACAGTTAGAAGGAGAACCAGGCCAGCAACAATGCCCACCATGAGGATGCTGGGCTGGGAAGACGGCTCTGAGAAAGGACAGGAAGGTGAGAGGCCTGACCCCAGGCCTCAGCCCTCACACTGCTAAAGAGCTCCAGAAACACCCCTGCTTTCCCTCAGAAGAATCATGATCCCCCTGGCCCCCCTCTTACCCCATCTCAGGGACAGGGGCTCCGGCAGCCCCTCATGCTGCACATGGCACGTGTATCTCTGCTCTTCTCCAGAAGGCACCACCACAGCTGCCCACTTCTGGAACGTTCCATCTCCTGCAGGCCTGGTCTCTATAAGCTCCATGTCCTGAGTCTGATCCTCCCCATCCCGCTGCCAAGTCAGTGTAATCTCTGCAGGGTAGAAGCCCTGGGCCCAGCACCTCAGGGTGGCCTCATGGTCAGAGGTGGAGTGATGGGTCACCTGTGTCTCTGGGGGATCTGAGGGGAAGAGTCAGAAAATTCAGGCACTTTGCATCCCTTGTAGGACACTCCAGCAGCGCTCATGTGACATCCTGAGAATGGACAAGACAAATAGGGTAGGGAAGAGAGGACAAAACCCAGACATCGGCCTGGACCCAGGGGTCTGGGGTGATCTCCTGTTCCTTGAAACTTCTCCTCTAAAGAGAACAGGGTCCTGACCTGAGTGGAGAATGAGTGACCGGGAAGGGCTGGAATCAGAACCCCAAACACACTGAGTGGAGCACAGAACAAGGCCTGAGAGAAAAGATTATGGTGCCCAAAGCTGCTGCAAGGTCGGAGGGAACCGCTGACCAGTATTTCAGGGACTGTCTATCCCTCCATTCCCTGGGAGACTTCATCCTTTAACTGTCCCAGAGGGAAGGACAAGCACTCAGAGTCACTCTCTGGTACAGGAACTGGACAGTCAGGAGGCATCTTCCTGCTCTGGACCAGAGAGAGGGCGATATCCTAGCGTCGGGCCCATTTACTTCCCATTCTTGTGGATGGGGAGCGGGGACATCTATGGTTGTGGGAGTCGCCCCGCGCTCCTGGTACCTGCGCGCTGCAACACGTCCTTCCCGTTCTCCAGGTATTTGCGGAGCGACTCCACGCACTCCCCTTCCAGGTAGGCTCTTTGGTATGACGCCTCAGCAGCCGCCTCCAACTTGCGCTGGGTGATCCGAGCCGCTGGGTCCGCCACTGTCCAGGAGCGCAGGTCCTCGTTCAGGGTGATGTAGTCGGCGCCATCGTAGGCATACTGATAATACCCGCGGAGGAGACGCCCGTCCGGCCCCACGTCGCAGCCATATGTTCTCTGGATGGTGTGAGACCCTGGCCCCAGCCCCACAGTCAGCCGCGCCCACCAGACCCACCCCGCCCCAGATGGAAATTTTGTCCGAAACTGAAAGTGAAAGTCCCCGCGGCCTCTTCCTGGGTCAAAGTTCTCAAAGGGTCCCTCAGCCTCGGGGTGACTCTTGGCCCCAAAGACTCAGGCTTATCTGTGTGGGTGGGAAGGGGTCTTAACCTTCGCTCAGGGCCCAGGGTCACTCACCGTCCTCGCTCTGGTTGTAGTAGCCACGCAGGGTCCGCAGGTTCACGCGGACAGTCTGTGCGTTGCCCTTGGCGTTCCGTGTCTCCCGCTCCCAATACTCCGGCCCCTCCTGCGCCACCCACGGCGCCCGCGGCTCCACTCTCGGATTCTCCCCGTCGCTGTCGAACCGCACGAACTGTGTGTCGTCCACGTAGCCGACAGCGATGTACCGGGGCTCCCCGCGGCCGGGCCGGGACACAGCGGTGGAGAAATACTTCAGGGAGTGGGAGCCTGGGGGGCGGGAAGGGGCTGAGACCTCGCGCGACCTCCCTCCTGGTGCGGCTCCCCGGGTCCTGCGCTCCCGCCGGGCGGTCCCCTCGCTCCTGTCCTCAAAAGCCGTTTCCTTCCCGATCCCGCACTCACCCGCCCAGGTCTCAGTCAGGACCAGGACCTCCAAGAGAGGTAGCAGGAGGGTTTGGGGGGCCGTGAGCCCCATCCTTGGGGCTCAGAGACCCAGAGTCTCTATAGGTCCGCGGCCACACTGATCGGCTTCCAGAAACCGACACCCAATGGGAGTGAGAACTAGTGTCACGTCATCAGTATCCATGACGAAGGACCTGACCAGGGTTGGGATAGGAAGAAATGAAACTCAGAGGAGGTGGGGAATCCCCAGCGCTGAGCTTGCCGGCCCCAGATGCCGCCCTGGTGACTGAGACCTGAGAGCTATGTCTGAAGCCTGGGACGTGGTTCTACTTCACCGAGCGCTTGTCACACTGTCTCCCTGAGTCCCGTCCCAGGAGCTGTCTGAGGAAACCAAGGAGAGACCCCCAGGCTGGGTTCAGCCCCTTCCCCTTCACTTCTGGATCCGGAATCCTTTGCCTGAACTGGACTCCCTGGTCCTTTCCTTTCCTCCTGGACTTTAGACGAAAACGCCCCCAGGGAACTTCATACCAGAGTGAGCCCTACAAATGGAGGTGTAGAGATGGTGATTTTCTCATTAAACCTAATAGAGAGAGATTATGGGACCAGTTTTGATTTTGCTTATTAACTAGGGTAGGTAGTGCAATCTTGGTAACCCCCGAATGATCAGAAGTCGAATCTGTCATAGTAGTGATTTGGGGCTCTTGATTTAGAAATGTGTCTAAACGCATTACAATTAGACGAACAAGGCTTCCAAATTTTGTTTCCCAGTCTAAGCATCTCTGGCTGTCGGTTGTATTTTTTTTTTTAATTATCTTCAAAAATAAAATAAAATAAAAATCTTCATTCCATGGTCCTGAGTTTCTGTGTGTAAGTCCAGGACATTTCCTCAATACAAAGAAGCGCAATTTGTTACTGTATATTACAACCAGGAGCCTGTATAGACTTTAATCACCTCAGAGTTGCAAGTGTTCCACGCAGTCAAAATGTCCCTTACCAGTCCTCATGCCTTGCTTTTATGAATTATTCACGTATAAGCCATGTACATATTTTATTGGGACATTTGCTATTTTTAACCTGATTCACATAAGGACGAAATTAATTGTTAGGCAGTCCCAAAGGCAAAGAACACCCTGCTAGGCTCTATAGATATGTGTATTAAAAAATCTTTAGAACACTGTGTTTAAAGCTGAGAATTCTCCTGCCTCACAACTCTTGCCTTCTGCTCCTGTTTCTCCAGCCCTTCTCTCTGTCCCGCTCATCCTTCAGGCCCCTTCTCTCCATGGTTCCACCACCTCTCACTCCTGAACTGACATAAGCACTGTCCCCTCACCTGCTGCCCATGACTGTTCTTCCCAGAGTCAGAATTCCTGCTAATATGAGTCAGGTCCTGTTTTCTTCACTTAAACATACCAATGGCTCTGTCTCACTCTTCTGAAGCCTCTAGAATGTAAGGCACATAAACACAGAAGCTTTGGACTGTTTTGGCCAAAGTTGCATGTAAAGGCATATCTGGCCTTTACAAACCCATTATGTAAAGGCAGATCTGGCACACAGCAGGCACTACAATAAATTAATGTTGAATGAACAAACAAAAAATGATTGTATTAAATTTTAATTCTATCACATAAAAATCATAAAATGAAAAATACTAAAAAAAGAAAGATTGTATTTCATGCAATTGGGTACATACTAGATCATAAATTCATTTCAGTGCAGAAAATATGATGTGCCTATCTGTGGAGTCTGTATATAAAATTCCTATCACTGCATAACATATTACTAAAAGTTAGTGGCTTTAGATAGCTCCCTTTTATTTGTTTACTGCTTGTTAGTCAGGAACCCAGGCGTGGTGTGGATGGTTCTCTGATCAGAGTTTCACACAGCTATGTCCTCATCTTGAGGTTGGGGTCCTCCCCCAAGCTTATGCTGAGCCAGTGGGCAGGATTCAGCTTCTGGCAGTTTAGGACTAAAGTCCCTGATTCTTTGCCAGTTGTCAGAATGGAGACAGGAGAGGGCTACTCCCAATTCCTGCTTCCACCTAGCATTCTTTGCCACATGACCTCTCCACTTTCAAAGACCATAGTGAAGGAAATCCTCACCCTGAGTCCCTCTCTCACTGTGAATCTTGTGTTCAGGAAGAACCCAGTCTTCTAAGAACTCACCTGATTAGGACAGTTCAATCCAGGATAATCCCCTGTCTTAAAGTCAAGTAATTTGGGATCTTAGTTATATCTGTAAATCTCTTCACAGCAGCACCTACAATAATGGTGATGGAATAACTGGGAAAGGTAAATAACCAGGGGATGGTTATGGGTTATCACAGAGTCAGCCTAGCATGGCCTGTGTCTTTCTTTTATGTTCAATTGGGTCACAGGTGGAAACTGAAGTTCAGATAAATAGATTGTTGTGAATTGTAACATAATATGTTTTATTTAGTCATGATAATTCTTCTTAAATCTCAAAAACAAATGACATGTTTAAGAAAGTGCAATAATTTATTCTCTCTTTGGAAGCTGTATTACTTACCTGCTGCTGTGTACCAAATTACCTAAAACTTAACAGCTCACAGTGACAAATATTTTTTATTTCCCATTTTCACTTTCTTTCTTTGTTTTGGGGGGGTTTTTTGTTTGTTTGTTTGTTTTTGACAGAGTCTCACTCTGTTGCTCCAGGCTAGAGTGCCATGGCAAAGCATAGCTCACAGCAACCTCAAACTCCTGCACTCAAGCAATCCTCCTGCCTCAGCCTCCCAGGTAGCTGGGACTAGAGGTGCCAATCATGTCGCCCAACTAATTTTTCTATTTTTTTGTAGAGATAGGGTCTCACTCTTTTTTTTTCTTTTCTTTTCCTTTTTTTTTTTTTTTTTTTTTTTTTTTTGAGACAGAGTCTCACTGTTTCCCTCCATAGAGTGCTGTGGCATCACGGCTCACAGCAACCTCAAACTCTTGGGCTTAAGCAATTCTCTTGCCTCAGCCTCCCAAGTAGCTGGGAGTACAAGCGCCTGCCACAACACCCAGCTATTTTTTTGTTATTGTTGTCGTTGTTTAGCTGGCCCCGACTGGGTTCGAACCCGCCAGCCTGGGTGTATGTGGCCAGTGCCCTACCCACTGAGCTATGGGTGCCGCCCAGGGTCTCACTCTTGATCAGGCTTGTCTGGAACTTCTGAGCTCAAGAGATCCTCCCTCCTTGGCCTCCCAGAGTGCTACGATTATAGATGTAAGCCACCACACCTGGCTGCTGCAGTTTCTAATAGGAATCCAAAAGAGATTTCCCTGACTTCTTCTGGCTCAGGGCCTCTCCAAGGGCTTCAGTCTAGTTATCAGCCAGGGCTGTGTCATCTGAGGGCTCTACGGGGGCCAAGGAAAGCAGAAATGGCTAGCTCCAATCTAGGAACAGGTTTTTCAAACACTAGCTATTTGGTGGGCATCCCAGAATAAATTCAACATCGTTCACTGTGTATTTTAATGAGATGTGGTAGAAGTGATTTGACACCACTATGATTCTATGAATCACTGTTATTGTGTGTTTTTACCATTGTTGTTACTAAAGTTTTTCTAAACTGTCATTGTTACTATGTGCTTTTACTATTGTTGTTACCAAAGTTTTTCATGTTTCCATGAAACACGGCTCACTCAAATGGCTGTTGGAAGAGGCCTCAGCTCCTAGTTGGCTGATTGCAGGGGTCTTCAGTTCCTGGCACATGGACTTTTCCACAAGGCTGCGTGACACAGCAGCTGGCTTCCCCAGAGCAAGTGATCTCAGAGAGGTAGAAACAATATTGAAGCCACAGTGAGTTTTATGTCCTACGCCCAGAGTCACAAACTATTATATCAGCATTGTTCTATCAATTAGAAGTGAGTCATTAAATCCTGGCCACACTCACAGGAAGGGAATTAACCTGCACCTCTGGAAAAGAAGAGTATCAGATAATTGGCATACATTTCAAAAGCAACATTAAAATTATTGTTTCAAAATTTTGTAAATCAAATGCTTCCTTTATATGATTATTTTCTTTAATGCTTGTAACTTTTTGAAGTAATGATTAAAGTGTGAGACATCACAGAGTCTTGGATGCTGAAAAAAATGTTTGAGACAGAGAAAGGAGATGTGACAATATCTCTAAGTTTTTTTGTTTTTTGTTTTTTTGAGACAGAATCTCACTTTGTTGCCCTCAGTAGAGTGCCATGCCATCATAGCTGGCAACAACCTCAAACTCTTGGGCTCAAGTGATCCTCTTGCCTCAGCCTCCCAAGTAGCTGGGACTACAGGTACCTGCCACAAAGCCCAGCTTTTCTTTAGAGTCAGGGGTCTCACTCTTTTGCAGGCTGGTCTCCAACTCCTGAGTTTAGGCGATCCACCTGCCTTGGCCTCCCAGAGTGCTAGGATTACAGTGTGAGCCATCCTACCCAGCCTTCTAAGTTTTTCTTGCTAATGCCTTTAATAAGAATGTTCTCGGCTCGGCGCCTATAGCTCAACCGGCTAAGGCGCCAGCCATGTACACCTAAGGTGGCGGGTTCGAATCCCCAGCCCGGACCCG